TCAGAGTCCATTTGTTTCGCAGCACATAAGCCCTGCTCTCCTCATATCGCTTCCCAGTCAGGTTTACTGCTGGCATCACCAACAGAAAACTGAGGAGGTAAAGACTTAAAGCCCTCAGTCACTTTGTTATAGAATCCAAAGGAGGGCAATGGAGATGAAGAAGGATGCAGATGAGGCCTCATGGCAGCTGCAGCTCAATACAGGGAGCGGAGGGCAGCGCTGAGCTCTGCTCTCTGGGGTCAGTGATAGGGCCCGAGGGGATGGCATGGAGCTGTGCCACAGGAGGGTCGGGGCTTATGGACAGGGTGGCAGCCATGTGGCTCATCTGGGAACGCACACAGGGAGCAGAGCAGTGCTAATTTCGAGACGGGCCTGACGATCTCCTTGGCTCACACTTCCTACAGCACCAACTCCTGCTGAGACAAGGAGGGTGGGAAATCAATTTAATTGCAGCCTAGTAAGCAACTGTGCTAAGTGTCACTGGCAAAATCGGAGCCTTTCACTGTGAGAGAAAGGGGAGAACGCTGCTTTTTTATTGCACAAGAAAGTGAATTGAGAGCAAGCCCGTGCGACAGTCATCTGGCCCTCACGTCTTCCTTTAAACAGGAAGAAGGCAGCAAGAAGCAAACAGCCAGTGCCAGAGCTGCTCCAATTAACAGTCAATCCAGTGCACCCTTTGTTGTTGCACTACACATAATTACTACTTCATGTAAACATCTTTCTTAACCAGATCTGACTTTCGCTTTCTCCCCAGACGCATCCTTGTAATGGGCTTCATTTGCTGGGCTGCCTTGTGCAGGGAGCTGGCTATGGCAGCATTTCTCACAGTTGCAGTACGTTGCTTTTGCATCTCTATGACTTCTCCCAGACTTGCTTTTCCACTGGCAACGATAGCAGAGCTTGCACCCAGTCACGCAGAAGCACCACGCTGGCATTCCATGGACTGCCTGATGCCAGTTCCAATATCATCCACATAACTCCTATGTTCAGTTGCACACAAGCCTATAGGGAAGGCTGGTGTGTTTTAAGAGCGAGCTTAAATGATGAAAAAGAGTGGGGCCCAGCACCTCGTGTGCTGGCTGCTCCAGCACTGCTCAAGCACACCAACCTCAGGCCACTGCTTCCCTCAACAAATGGGCCAATTCCATCCTGTTGATTTCCCTGGGTCTGTACAATTGTACTATTTGCAACTCTGCTGCTCCCAGAATGATGCTCCTCCTTTTGTATGCCTGCAAAAGTAGCTCAGCACACCAGCCCTGCTGTACTCTGCCCTAAACTTTAACTACTGAACTTGCAGAGGAAAGGCAAACCTCTTGTCCCAGTGCTGTGGCATGCCCATGGACTCAGCATTGCCATCTATAACTCCGGCCCAGCAGGCTTAGCTCCACTTACCTGCAGAGAGGCACAGACTGCACAACATGCTAGGAACCAAAGAGATGCCTGGGAAGAGCAGGAGATGCACACCCTGCCAGAACAGTCCTGGGCCCTGATTATATCCAAATAAATCAGGAGGATACTCTTATCATGGAAAGGATTTCATCCCATTTGTTCCTTTTATTGCATGCGTTGCTCTACAAATGTTTCAAATGCACTCCTGAACCCACAGCGCTCCTTGCAATGTCCTTTAGATGCTCTCATTAACCTTGTCACCCTCAGATGGTGCCATATCTTCTCTTAGCTTCATAGTTCTCCTGATGCTGATCCCCTCCCGCATCAATCCTAATTTAAAGCCCTCTCATCACTCTTCCCAGCTTACATGTCAAGAGATGTTTCCCCCATTAAGACAGGCATCCAGTAAATCTCTCATCTCAAAGACCCTCCTATGGTCATAAAGCCTAAAATTCTGGAGCATGCTCCAGTCCTGGAGGCAGGCATTGATGACCTGAGCTTTCCTGCTCCTTTCCCTGCCTCTCCCCATGTCTGGGGGTTTATGAGGAAAACACTGCTCTGAGTCCTTTAGGCTTCCCAATGTTTTTAACCAGCCACGTGGTCAAGCCAGCAGGGCCCAACTCTTACGTAGAGCTAAAAAATTAACAGGGTTTTCATTGCCAGTAAAAAAAATTAGTTATCATTTATTGTTCCTTTACACTTCAGAGTGTGCTTATGCCCAGAAAGCACAACTTTCCTCTTCTGCCCCTCTCTGGACCTACACAAACCACCAACTGAGCCCACTGAGCACAAACTTCTCTGTTCCACCTTGTTTCTCATGACAGATTTGGCACTGCAATCCCTTAATGGCTAAGATATGAATTTTTGCAGCGTAAAGTTATTTTAATCTGTTAAGTGGCTCCGCTGCTATAAAACTGAAAGGGATTTAGTATCTGGAGACCGTCAGCTGAGCTCCAGGTGCTGAATCTTTCTCGATGGCAATGATGCAGAAGGAAATGCAGGCTGCTACAAAGCATACAAACACAAGCATCCTTTTGCACGGAGACCAAATCCCATGGGGTGCTGAGCACCCTGAGCACTTGGAGCAAGCGGTGAGGAGGCAGCACTGCTCCTGCCCTGGAAGCCATCCCCATGCTGCATTTGAGCAGAGTCAGGAAGGAGCTGTTGCATTGCAAACATCGAGGTGAGCCACATGCATCTTGTTAGGTCACCTGCTCAATAGAAGAAACTTTTCATCCATAGCCTTTCTGCAACAACCCAGCCTGCAAATGACCTGCTTTGAGCTCTGAGCTGTGCTTCAGCCATCCATCAGTTGGAGCAACCAAGTCGGCATGCATGAGACAACGGCAGGGCTCTGATACAAAGCTGAGCAGACTCTCCCTGAAGAGGAGGCAAGTTGACTGAGGGGCTGCCACCTGCACCCTCAGCTGCCACCTGCACCCCCAGGGCTGCTGCAGCCCTGCACAGCCACTGGCAGGAACTGGCACGTGGGTGCAATACCACTGCTCCACATACACGTATCAGTTTGGGAATGTCTTTGTAATTAATCCCATGTATCAGCTCCTCTCATTATTTCTTAATGCAATTAAATTATTAATTTGTCTTTTTTTATTTTCTCCTTTTTTCTTCTTTTTTTTTTTTTTCCCCCTCCTTTCCAAAGCAAAGCAGAGCAAAGGGTCTGGGTGAGCATGGGCTCAGGGTTCCCACTTCCCTGCAGACCCATTTGGCAAGAGAGCTGAGTTCTCAATGAGAGCCTGGAGGGCACCAACCCCAGTTCACTTCTCTGGTTTCCAGTGCATCCAGCCAGCACACCACTGGGGCGGGGAGACAGATAACAGTACTATAAGAACAGGAAGAATTTGTCCTATGAACAGCTTCTCTGCAACAAGCTCCATGATCCTAAATGGAGCCCACGGCGCTGGATGTGAGCCTAACGAGGAGGCAACAAAGGTTAAACCCACACCGGGGTGGTGTATGGTGGTCACACAGCTGCAGAACGGGCTGCAATGGGAAAGGAGATGGAGGAACTGCTGCTGTCCTGGCGTCAGAGCGAGCCCAACTCCAAGGGGTTAACCAAGGTGGCACTGCATCCCTGCAGCCAGCAGCACATCACTCATGCCACTCCAAAGCAGTTCCCAACGCCAAAAATGTAATGCATGACAAAAATGAAAATCTGTGCTGTATCAATCTCAAGGGGATGCAACTGTTTTGATGGAAAATTCAGAGGAAATGAAGGAGAGGCAATTCTAGCAGTCAAATTACCGGAGTTACGGCAACTTGGCATTTGCAGCTTCAGAATCTGGGGGGCTGAAGTTTGCTCTGCTGGATGATGGGACCAGGCTGGCCCAAACGGTGGGGTGCAGTGAATGGGAGGGGGTTCTGCCAGGAGCCCCACTATTCTGCAATACAGAGCAGTGGCACAGCCAGGGCTGGGGCTGAGCCAAAAGCTGGGCTCATGTGAAGGAGAAGGCAGCAGCTCCTCTCAACAGGGCAGGTTTTATTTTTCAGGTTTTTAAGAAAATTTTTCCAACAGAAACCTATTTACATAAAAGCATGGTTACGGTTAAGGGAGCTTTCCAGTTCAGTGACTTATTACCTTCCCCTGCTTAAATAAATAAATGTACCTACATATAACTATTTTTCGGCCCAAATGTGCACAGATTCATTCCCCTCCGCTGTGGCAAAGATTTTTGAAAGCTTGAAAAACCCACTCCATCAATTTTATTTCAAAAAAAAAAAAAAAAAAAAAAAAAAAAAAAACCACGAAGAACCAATCACTCCTTTACATGAATAAAAATCAAACCAAGCTTTATGAGCTCAATTTTTTCCCCCTAGTAAAGCCGTCAGTTCACAGCTTCAGAGATGACACACGAATGGTGAGGATGCAGGCAGCGCACAGCTGCCTGGGGGGAGAAAAGGGAGGAACGGGGGGCTCACACCCCTGCTGCAATAAGCAGCCACCTCAGCAGACCTTCAGTTCGCTTATCCAGCCTAACCCCCATTCACTTCCTCGAGATGTACAGCAGTATCGCCAAGAGCGGGAGCCGATCCAGGTGCTTTCCAAAGTTAGCCCCGCTCCCTGCCCAGCCAACTCGTAGCCGTCATCAAAGCAGCGCCCCGGGAGCCCTGCAGCCTCCCTGCCTTTCGCACCACTCGGGCAGCGGGGCTCCTCGGTTTCCCTCTTTGATCTGGGTCTGATGCCCCGTGCGTTTCTCCTGCGCTGTCGCTGGAAGGTGCGCACCGAGACTCGGCAGCGTGCGAGCGCCGAGATGCTGAGACGCGGACGCCTTCCGAACTCGAATCACACCGGTGCAAACAGAAACAACGGTAGCAAACACAAAATGACCACAAGTACCACCGAGGCTGAAGATGCTCGGCTCCCAGGCGGGCACGGCGCTGCCCATCCCGTGGTTCCTTCCCATTCAGCGCGGTGCCCGGAGGTGCCTTGTGTCGGAGGCAGCCTGCGTGCCCCATCTCAGCAGCAAAGTCGGGCTCGGCAGCGGCACAGCGGGGATTTCCCTCTGCTCAGAGCATCAGTTCCCCGCCGGAGGAGAGACTCCGGCAGTGGGCACGGAGCTAAACTTTCCGCGCAGCGCCCGGTGCCCCCTTACCTCTAGAGTTTGGCCCTCGGGTCCCTCCGCCTCTGGCTTCCTCCTCGCCCCGAAGAAGAGGAGGAGGAGAGCGGCGATCCAGAGCACCCCCAGCACAGACAGCGCCAGGCGGCGGGTCGGGCGCCTCATGGCTGCGGGGGTTGGGGTGACGGGCAGAAAAAGGCAGAAGGGAGGAAAGAGGGGTCTCGACCGTCTGCTTAGGAGCCGGCGATGCGAGTCCCAGGCTGTGAGTGCGCTGCAGGGAAGGGAGAAGGAGGAGAGGAAGGAGGGGAGGGGAGGAAGGGGGAGGAGAAGGGAGAGGCGGCACCAGCACCACCGTGGGGAGGGAGGGGTGCTGGAGCCGGAGCCGCTCGCCCCTGGAAGGGGCTGCGCGGCCCCCCTGCATGGGGAGCGGTCACCTCGGTGTCCCCCCTCGCACACCGAGCCGTTTCCGGCAGCGCTGCCGAGTTGGCCCCCGCCGGAGCCGCGCTCCTCATCCCTGTCCCGGCCCGGGGGTTGGACCGGTGTTTAACAGCACGCACGGGAGGCTCAGACATGATGGGAAGATTAATTTATCCAATTGAAACAGCAGGGGGAATTCAGGTAGGTGGAATTTAATTACTGCGTTTGGATGAGAAGATGCGAGTCTCCAGAGCTGTCAAGAGCACTTAGAAAATAAAATCATAATCATCGACACGGAGCGGGGAGGCTGCTGGTGCACCATCAGCCCTGCCCCGGGGGCGCTACCTGCCGGCCCCATACAGCGCAGACCCAAGTGGAGTACCGACACGTTGCCAAGAGAAATCAAGCATCGTACGGTGCTGGGAAAGAGTTGCCTTGCCCGGGTGTCCCTTCTCACCTACCTGACCCGCTGCTCTTCCACACTGCTGAAAAGCATTGCAGCAGCTGAGCTTTCTCTTGCAGAAGACATTAGCGAATAAATTAACTATCGAAGCAGATGCGAGTTGTTTATGTTGGTACAGAAACTGTAGAACAAACCCCATAAAAGCAGGAACCTGTGCATAAAGTAACATACGGAATGAATTGAAGATAATATGTCAAATGCTGGAAAGTGAGTGAGTGTTGGAGCTGCTGCTGATTTATCAGGACCTGAGGGAATGGTATGGGGCTGTGTCAGTGGAGGGATTGGGGAGGTGATGGAAAGGCTCTGCACCAGAGGGCAGTGGGCACAGCCCCAGTGCTGGAGTTCAAAGACCTTTAGACAGTGCATTCAGGCTTAGGGACTGGGCTGGTGTTGTGTGAAGACAGGGTTGGAGTCGATGATCTTTGTGGATCCCATCCAACTGGCTTGAACCCATTACCATGCCCACTAAGCCATGAGACATCTCTGCCCAAGTCTGGGGGGAGCCCGCAGGTGGGAATAGCTGCTGCTCTCTTCCTCAAACTTCTTTGCACTTTCTCCTGAAAGACCACGTGTGCCACATGCTTACAGCCACCTGATAAACTTCCAGCAGCTGAGGTGCACCAGTGATTGCTCTTCACACAGCTTGGAGTTCTCTCATGTCACATCTACCCCAATTCTTAGGCTGGCTGCTCACATCCTTCCCTCTGACCTCTCGGGAGCAGGAATCCCTTTCAAACCAAGAATACAGAATCATAGGATAGCTTGGGTTAAATCATCTAGTTCCAACCCCAGACCCAGGTGATGGAGATCCAGACCCCAGTTGCATCACAGAGTTGGGTGACAAAGATCTAGAGCTCAACAGTGCTGGAGATTCAGATCCCAGTAGCATCACAGAGTTGTGTGGCAGAGATCCAGACCCAGTGGCATCACAGAGTTGGGTGATGGAAATCCAAGGGCTCATCTCACCCCAGGCAGAAAGGAGCTTCTGGTGCTCTGCTGGCCCAGATAAGGTGACCCTGGCTGCTTTGTCATGCAGCATTCCCTCCAGCGTGTCTCCCAGACTGCACCCCACATTAGAAGGCAGAAAAGCTTTTCCAGAGAAAGGCATCTGGCTGTTTTCATTAAGAGGTGGATTTAAAACCTCATCTTTTCTCTAGTTCAGACTTTCTGAGGAAACCATTATAAAATATAGGAGGAAATACAGAAAATATCAAGAAAATACATTACAAATTAGATTACAGGAAAGATAATAAATAGGCTGACCTGACAAAAATGCAATCAGATAATGGTCTCTTATTACCTTGAGAAACAACTCCCTCTGCTGAGGGAAAGCTTTATTAGCAGGGCTCGGCGTGGTGATGAACAACTCCCTGCACCAGTGCCTGGGAAATGAGTGTCTGTGGAGATACAGCACTGCACAGTGAGTGGTAAAGAAAGCTGGGGTTCCTGTGCAGGTGTGGGCACGGAGAAGCTGTCAGCTTGTTTCATCATGTCAGTATTGCAGAATTGATGCAAAGGGGTCATCTGATGAGAGCAAAACCAGGGCAGCACTTTGGAGCGGCGAAGGACCTTTCCCAGGGACAGCATGGGGTGATGGCCCTTGGGCTCCTGCCTTTAGGCAGAGGGGGGGGGGAGGGAAGAGCAACTTTTCTTGCTATTTCAAGTACAGAGAGTGGATCTGTAAAGCATGACAAGAACATTTTCAGACGTCATCACAGCATCTCTACCAAACAGGCTGGCACTGCAGTTTTTGCTAGCAATATTCCTGGGCTTGAGCATCCCGTTCACATGTGAGATGCCACCCACAGAGAAAAACACCTTTGCTTTCTGAAAGGATGGGAAATGCTCAGGTTTTCATTCCTGGAAAACTAAAAAGGGCATAAGCAACAACATTTGAAAGGCAATTAGAGGAAAGAATCAAAATTCACTGCAATTCAAAGTGGTATGGAGGCCCTGCTGGGTAGCACAGTGTCCTGCAGCACAGAGCAACTCCACATGAGGCTCATCCTACACTTCTAGCAGGTAAGTGCCAGGAGAATTCAGTTAAAGTTCTTGGATTGCTGTTGTTTGTTTTTTAATTAAAGAAATAGTATGAGCTTTCTAGTTGTCCGTCCCCTCCGCCCTGTTGAGATGACAGAAGTGTAGCTTGCCCTACACCAGCAACCTAAGCTTTCAAAGTTCAAACACGCGCTCAACTTCTCCACATGGGAAATGGTATCACCTCTCACTTCACCACTACCATCAAAAACGGGAGCAGAGGAATTCTCGTGGTCTTTCTGCCACCACTGGAGTTGCAAGCAGGTCTTTTTCAGTAATAGTAAAGGACATTTTTTACCTTTTTAATTAAGTCACAAGCATTCTTCTCTAGCACACTCTCCACAATGGCATCTCCAATTAATTAAAGATTTAAGCTGTTCAGGAAAGGCTATGCATAAGATAAATATAAATAAATAAAGAGGGGAGCTGCATTAATAGCGTTTGTTAATTGAACTTCTCAAGTCAGCTGCAGGAATACAAGCTGTTGTGCAAATAGAAGGGAAGCAGCGCACTCTGTGATGTTCACCTGCAGCTCCCACCTTCAGCCAAGCTTGTGTGACTCTGATGGATGGAAGGCACAGACACGGCCATTGGGAGCCTGGAGGAGCCCCCTCTGTGCAGGGAATTTGTGACAGATGACCATGAGCTCTGGGAGACGACGCTGTGGCATGCAAACATGTGCCCCATCCATCTCTGAGAGAAGCAGAGAACCCTACCAGCAAAGTGACCAACCCCTCTGTTACTCTATGGTTAATCAGTGCTTTTATCCTGCTGCAGAACCGTGCCTCTTCAACATGTTCAGGACCATAACTGCAGTTTGGACAGGTGGCATTAATAACAGAATAGAGAACAAGTCAATGATCAGTGATGGAACGGTTAGCCTGAAGGAAGCCTTGTCCTTATGTCACCTTTAATACTTCTGTCTTTATGTGTGCTGGTGTTAAGCAGAATTCAGGGCCAAATCTTGATTTCTGTGACACGTAAGCATAGGCAGATGCCAATCAGAACGCAGGCATCCATTAACACAGCTGGCAGTATGCAGTGCTGCACCAGGCTTTTTGTGGGAAGGAGCATTTTCACAGCTGGATGCCACCTCTTTGTCCTAGAAAGATATACATAGGAAAAAAATCCCTAACTATTAAGCCCTCCTTTCCCCAAGGGATTTAAAGCCAGAAAGAATGAGCCACACATCACCTAACTTCTGTAGATTTCAACCCCATTATTTGTGCAGGAATAGATGTTTTTTCTATACAGAATCATATGCTTTAAGTATAAAGACAATGACTGCTATTTGATCAGGCCATCTCCTGTTCTCAAAGCAAAACATGCTAACAACTAGCTCCTTATCTCTTTGAAAAATAGGGAAAAGACAGCAGCTACACCGGGCAGAAAGCAGACATAACCCAAAGGTCCTTGCGTACTCTGTAGACACACAGTGCTAGGAATCCTGCCCACCTACAGGGGGAACAATCCTGTGCACTGAATGCACTCAGGTGGATTAAATATCTCACTTCCCATCACCATTGTTGCTGGTTGGAAAGCAAAGCAGTGGCTTGGTTTACCCACTAATTAATTACATGTATTTATTCTGCTGTTAGTGAGCAAGAACAAGTTTGAAGCCCAACAGCATTATTTTCCCTTCCCGATATAACACCTCATTAATGCCTTCAAATATGTTAGAATTTGTCCATGCCAGAGGCTCTTGTTGGACCAGAACAATCGATGCAAACAGAGCAGGTAAATTATCAGTCAGAGTCCTAAGAAGTGGAACTATTTCCATTGGGACACCATAATGACTCCTGCCAAATGGGCATATCAACAGATGGTGGTAGGAGCAAGGGGAAACTCCATGGAGGAGCAAAGCAGACACACAAAGGATGAACTGCATCTTGATTTAACTGCACGGAGCTCTGGACAGCAAGACAGGCTCTGAACAGATCAGGCTGTCCCATGCAGGAGGGATATTTCACTGAAAAAATGGTGTATGGGAGATAATTGAAAGAAACTGTTCCAAAGTTCCAGGCTCTGATCTTTTTGCAGTAATGAGCATGCAAGTAGATGATGCATATGCATGAGAACATAATTAAGAGTGGTAAAACCTGGAAGATTTTCAAATTCCTTAGCAATTACCAACTTAAACACACAAAAAAAATTAAGATAGCCTTATCCCCAAAGGAAAGCTGCTGTTCAGAGTGCCTTGCCTCGTTACAGTCAGCTTGAACTCAAGCAGCAGGCTATCTGGGGGGGCTGCCTGCTGCAGCAGCAGGTCCTCTCCCTGGGATGGAGGCACGATGCTGACATCCTTCTGCTCTTGCTGAGACAACTAAAATGGTCCCCAAATGCTTT